TGTTGTTCAGTACTCTAGGATACCCAGCTGCCTCACTGCACCTGTTTTACTTCTCTCACAATCTACACACACATTCTTTCCTACCACGGCCTGGATTATACAAGTTACTTAGTCTGCAGTGATGGGGAAACATATCTGTGGAAAACTCGTCACTATCCCTCATTTTTGATCCTTGGGTAGGAAGCAGTATAACTTGCATTACTTCCTTTGAGGCGAGAACATGGACAACTGCTCGGCCCCTACAACCTTCTCTTTTTGCTTGAGATTTCTCAGTGACAAACCAGAGAAATTTGCCAGTGTGGTGTCACACCAGTGACACTAATGAATCATAAAACTAAAATATATTCTCTAGTCAGCTATCCCCTAGCTGTTATCACCTAGCTGATATCTGTTGTGTCTGATGTTACCTGAGTACGCTTCTTTGTTGCTGCTGTTGTTGCTGTACCTCCCACATGTACCAGGGTCTGTGAAAAGGTGCCATTTCCCGAAGCTTTCAGTGTCACCATTACTAGAAATTCTGGAGCAGTGCTTGGATGGCCCTCTCCACAGCTCTATCCACATTTTGTCACCTGAACCAGAAAGCCACACTTAGAATGGATCAAAGTCACAAAAGCTACCCCGTTAGCTTCTACTTTGTAATCTAATCCCTCTCTCTCTTTTTTAAGACTTAAATTTTCCTTTCACTAAATTGCCAATTGTTTATAAATGTACGCTGTAAAAAAATTAGATACATTAACTGGAGGACCTCTGATTCTCAGATCTTTATCTCTAATTCAGACTTATTTTCGGTCTTAAATTCATTTATCTTTTGGGTCTATTCATGTGCTATATACCATCAATCAGGAATGCAGTCCCTCTTTGTACTGTCTCCCTCTGAGACATAACACTTACTTCATCAGCCCTGATGAGGGAATTTGCTGAATGAGACCACTTCAAAGCCGTGCTTCAAACCATCAACCTTTAGGTTAGCAACTGATTGCAAACTGCTCACGCCACCCAGGGACCTTAAAATATGTACAGGTACTGGTACTGTAGAAACATATAACCTAGTTTGTTGTTGTTAGGTGTCATCACGTCGGTTCTGACTCATAGGGACTCTGTGTACAACACAATGAAACACTGCCCGGTCCTGCACCATCCTCATGATTGTTGCTATGTTTGAACCCGTTGTTGCAGCCACTGTGTCAGTCCGTCTCATTGAGGGTCCTTTCTTTACCTTTTTTGCTGCCCTTCTACCAACATGATGTCCTTCTCCAGGTACTGGTACCTCCTGATAACGTGCAAAGTATGTGAGTCTCACCATCCTTGCTTCCAAGGAGCATTGTCTGTACTTCTTCCAAGACAGATTTGTTCGTTCTTCTGGCAGTCCATGGTATATTCAGTATTCTCCACCAACACTGTAATTCAAAGGCATCAATTCTTTGGTTTTCCTTATTCATTGTCTAGCTTTCCCATGCATATGAACCTGAGAATTTGCATTTTTAACAAGTTCCTTGCTGAGAATTTGCATTTCCACCCCAGATATGCTGAATCAGAATCTACATTTTAACAAGATCCCCAGGTGATTCTTACGTGTAATTTCCTGGGAACTTGTTAGAAATGTAAATTCTCACCAGGGAACTTGTTAGAAATGCAAATTTTCAGCAGGGGTTCGAACTAGAGCAAACTGATTCGAAGCCCTGGTTTGAACCTGCCAAGAAAACCCTATGGAGCTGTTCTGCTGTGTCACACATGGGGTTGCCATGAATTGGAATCGACTCCATGGCAACAGGTTTTGTTTGGTTCTTCCTTTATCAAAACTTCCTTTCCATTTTATTATAATTATATCTTAATGACTGTTTTCTGTATTAGACACCAAACTCAATGATGTCAGGTACTAGGTCCAATCCCCATTAGAACACATAGGCTCTCAGTTGTCAGATATTAGATGAATGAATGATGACTTCATGATGGGACGTTCCAGAAGAAATGAAAATCCTGTTTTTTACACTCTTTTTTAATCTGTTTTTGTACAAATATTTGATTATGTTACTCTCTTCAAAAATCTCTCCAGTTCCTTGTTTCCTTTAGAATATTTTAGCACTCAGAGCCATTTAGCTTCAGGGACTTTGTTGTCAGCAACAGTAACCAACTGGCTAGTTTACATAGGAAAGGAATTTATTAGAAAAGAACTGGGTAAGCCTCACCTAAAATGGATAGGAAGACTAGAAAATCAGGTTTGGAAACAAGTAGGAACTGAGTGAGGTTTGGAAGCAGAAAGTTTGGTCCAGATGCCACAGCCACTGCTGAACTTATACACACTCTTGTCGTGGTCTCCCAAGATCCAGCAATTTATGTAGGAGTGTCTGCTGATCTAGGACTTGAGCCTTTGTATTGGCTACCATGGGATCAGGGAGAGGAAGGATTCATCTATCCCTTTGGCTTCTGAAGTGGAAGGTGGAGGAAGCCCTGCTTCCCTTCAAAAACTCTGCAATTGGGAATTCCACAACACTTGGAAAGAGGTTTAGATGCTCAGCAGCTTAACAACAACAACAAAAACAGATCATAGTTATCCACCAGAGGTTTCTCTTCTTTTTTATCTGAAGATCCAGTGTTTGTACCTCAGAAAGGGTGATATATTGTCCATTGTGTGGAGGGCATAGTGTGGTGGAAGGAGACTAAGTGTTGGAGATGAGCAGGGCTGGATTCAGATTTTGCTCAGAATTACTAGCTGGGTGATCTTGAAAAAATTACTAAACCTTCCTAAATGGCAGTTTCCTCGTTTAAAATAAGAAAAAAACCAACTCTGAAGGGCTATTGTATGTTTTAAATGAGATAGTAATGCCTGGCAGTTAGCTCACTCAGTAAATAGCAGCTAATAAAATACAGTGTTTCATTTGGCATCAGCTTACCTTCTTAGCCTTGTCTCAGTTCCTTACGATGTGAAAACTCTCCACAAATCCCAAGTGTTTATGCTCATTGTCCCTAAGTGTACCTTCTGATTTCTGCTTCCATATTTGTTTCTTCATACACCTCTTCTTCCTCTTTTTCCATCTTTGTTTTATAGTTCAAATCCTCCTTTCTTCTCGGTAAGAAAGTACTGGTCCCTCTAGTACTTATTGTCTCTCTGTACCATCCATTCTGGCATTTGACATTTATAGTAATTATCTTTGTATTCGTTCGCTGTCTTTGATAAAGTAATTTTGTAGAGGGCCAAAGGACTGACTCTTCTTAGAGAAAGGCAGTTTAGTAGAGGAAATGTTGTGTTTAGAATCAGAAATCCTTGATTCCAGTCTAGCACCAGCTATTGCTACTTCTGTGACCTCAGACAAGTTGCTGAATTAGTTCTTTTTATGTAAAATGGAGATAACGCTACAGGATTTTGGTGAAGATCAGATGAAATTATGTACATATGTATATGATAGAAAGGGCTGTACAAACTGTATTGACCAGTATAAAGTAAGATTCCTTTTGTATCTGCCTAGCACCTTATGTCATCCTTTACACATAGTAAGGCTTAATATGTTAATAAGGATTTTTTAACACTCCTTTCAGATTTTTACCGAATCAAAAGTTTTTTTAATATATTTTTAAAATTAAAACCAACAAATTGTGATGGAAATGTTATAACTGGCCTTTGATTTTGTTTAAGTATAATTTAATATTTAGCAATTATTCTTGGTTCTGATAAAAATATTCAGTTCTAATACATACTTTAACATCATTTAGCAGATTTCAAATTTACCAGATTAATTATTTTTGTTCAATTAAATGAAGAATATATATCCTTGCTTAATCACAACTGATAGTCTCCACTTTCAGACTTTGTCCTTGAAACTAATTTGAAAGAGAATCATTTGAGAGGTTTCTGTTTGCAATGTTGAAATAGGCCCAGCTACCAATATTTTTTTAAACCTTAGATTAGTCTCAAGAAGGAGAGAAAACGTACAGAGATTTTTTATATGTATATAGTTTATTCTTCAAGTGGTCTTCTCTTTCTTCTGTTCAACATCATAAAACTTGGCTCTTAAATGGAATATTGTGCATGAATAGGTCCTGGATGCAGAGCTGTGGCTCATCATGTGTAGTGAAAAATTTCATATGCCTTGCCTCTCTTTATTTAAGAGGACCTGTGTTTTTAGTTTATTTGTTTAGTTATGTGTTTAGTTTCTGTTAGATATTTGCAGTGAAAGAAAATTTTCTGTAAACAAAGTTTTACTAGTAAACAAGCTTTGCTGGAGAACATTGCTGTAAAAGTTTGTTTATTTTAGGATTTGACAAAACCAAGTCTTATTAAGCAATTGTGTGGTTTTTAAAAAAGCAGTTATGGGTTGTAATTCAATGCTGGCTCTATTTTCTAGATACAGATTTTAAGTTTCCTTTCATTGCAATTATAAAAAAAATTGAACATCCATGTATAAGTTTCTATTCAGTTTCAGCAATAAAGATTATATGGTTAATTTTTTTCTTTTATTAAGGTAAAGATAATTTAGTAGGGCTGTTAATCATAAATTTTTTTTTATCATGGGAAAAAGGTCTTTCAATTTAGCTATCAGGCCAAGTTTTTAAAAAACAGTAACCCTCGAAAAGCTGATCTTTTTTTTTTTTTTTAAATCTGAAGGTGCATCATGGAAAGCTAAAGTGAATGTGAACAGTATTAAGATTGGTAGATTTAAGAGCGATAACGATTTATTGATCTCTATTGATCTGGTACACTGTTACAGCTTTTAATTCTTTATACATCATGCAAATTTAAATTTTATCTTTATGTTTTTATGCATAAATATTACTTTTGGTAAAAGGAAGAGATAGGTTTACTTGAAACTTAGAAATTAGACCATCTGACTTCTCTGTTTTTACCAGCTTACACTATCAAAATAAACATATGACCTTAAAAACAATTCTCTGGGCTATAGGTTTCCTCATTGGACTCATTTTTCCTTTTAATAGCAAGTTATTTTAGAGTGTTGTAGGTATCCATTTTCTCAAAGGAGGTGCTTAGTTGTATTTTTCTCTTGCAGATTGATTATACCGGAACGGAGCCTTCCAGTCCCTGTAATAAATGTTTGTCTCCAGATATAACACCATGTATTTGTACCATTAACTTCACGCTGGAGCAGTCATTCGAGGTCTGTGCTTCCAAGAAATGTGTTAGAAAAGCCATGCTTTTAAAAAAATATTGATATCTCATTAAAAATGTTTATTTGAATGGTTTACTTTAGTCAGTGCTTATAAACAAATTTAAAAAATGATTTTTTATCCTTTCACTGGAAAATTTTTCATCTGTACAAATAATTTAACTTCATATCAGACATATATCTACTGGTATTTTTTAAATTATTGCTCTTGGTATTTGTGCATGCTTTTAATACTAAAGTTATTACTTAAGAAATACTAGTTCTTTCATTGTTTAATTTTATTATTTTGCTGAGAGATATGAAACATTACCAAAAATCTCAAACACGTAATTAATTTTTTATATCTTGATAAGCAGTTAGAATTCCATCTTTCTCTCTGTGTGTGTGTGTGTGTGTGTGTGTGTGTCTGTATCTTTTACATTCACACTGACCTGCCATTCTTCCCAGTAACCGAGCAGATGTTAAAGGGCATAAATTCAGAATGTTTTATAGGCGTGGAAAGACCGGTTTGTGTTCTCTTTTACCTAAAAATTGAGTTAAAAAAAAAAAAAATTATCTTCTTGTTCCTCAGAGAGCAAAATCACATTCCTACTTGCAAACTTTTTAGATTCTACAATTTAGATTTTTTAAAGGTAGTGATGATTTTTGTAGTTCCTGGTGGCTCAGTGGTTAAGAGCTTGGCTGCTAACCAAAAGATCGGCAGTTCGAAACCACCAGGCAGTTGTACTCTGTCCTGTAGGGTTGCTGTGAATCAGAATTGACTTGACGATGGCAACAGGGTTGGATTTTTGGTTTTTGGTATATGGTTGCCATCTAGTGATTGTATTGCTCTTGTACTGAGATAAAAGAATAATACTGCCTTTGGGAAAACAAAAACCATGAAAACAAATTTGGGAGAAGGCAAGAATTTAATGTTTACTTTATTTCAGCAGTAATAATGTGTAAATAAAAAACATCTCCAAAGGACCATTTTTTTTTTTAGTGGGCAGACTGTAAAAGACCCATTAAGTTCTGCTTTTGTCGAAATAGGCAGAACTAAAAAGATGAAAGAGACCATAATGATTTAGAAACTCCATTAGTCTCCTCCTCCTTTCAAAATCACTTATTTTATAACTTCTCTTCTGCAGAGGTGATCATCCTCTGATGCATTCTCTTGTGGGCTCTGTGTTCCATCACAAGCCCAAACTTTGAATTGGACTAAAGCCTTTTTAGGCAGCCTGAAGTGAATTATTTTGTCTCAGTATTCATTGAAAGGATCGCTTTTTCAGTTTGCAGGTTGAATTGACTGTGCTGATTCTTAATTGAGATTATACTCTTTTTTTTTTTAAAGGATGTTCATTGCCTTTGTATGTTTTTGTGATATAATTTTGATAACCAAAAGAAGGCTTCCATGTAACCGTTTCCTTTATATAGAATGGAAGAATTTGCATAATTTGACATTTGAAAATTAAGCTTCAAATGATTGTCTATGTGAATCAAATAAAATAAAGCATACTTATAAAATGTTACTGAATTCCTTTTATTTTTCTGAATTCCTTTTGAGGATAAGAATGTAAACAATAGAGATAGCAATCAGAAAAGAGAAAATAGCTTTATGTTTTTGCTACCTTTAAAAATCTTATTTATTCAGAATGGCTTCTGTGCTTCTTCTAAATAATTGTAGTGTATGTAGGTAATCCTTCTTTCCAAATTGGCTCAGCTATAAATACATCAAAGTATTTTTCTTGATTATTATAAAATGATTCATTAGCTACTTTACAAATTACTATTATTATTTAGTTTCCTGTTGAGAAATTTATAATATCGCTATAAAAATTCTGAATTTACTTGGACGATAAATGAAAGTTTGACCATTATTCTTCTGAAAAGTTGGTGCTAATTAGGTGAAAGACCAGTCTGAATTAGAAAAAAATTTAAATTGAAAGTACTTCAGAGTAGGCCAGTAGATTCCTTGAGGTTTATTTTATTTTTATATAAATAGTACTTCTTTGAAGTTTTTAAGGGTATTTTCAAAGCTTACTTTTGTATTTGTATAACATGCCTTCTTTAACCTTCTTTACAATTTGTGCCACTTTAGATTACTAAGTACTAGTAGAATTCACCTCAGTAGCTGTTTTAACTGATCACAAATTCTAAACTAGCAAAGTCTGAATTACATAACTTTCAATGTATGCATAAAACAAATTATGCATAATCGTTTTTATATGAAAATGTTTTCCATCTCTGTTTCTCTAGGGCAATGTGTTTATGTACTATGGACTGTCTAATTTCTATCAGAACCATCGTCGTTATGTGAAATCTCGAGATGATAGTCAGCTAAATGGAGATCCTAGTGCTTTACTTGTAAGTAAAATGATGAAATATAAAAATGTGCTATGTATGAAATAAGAACATGTGATAACAGCTAACTTAGAAATGTTAAAGTATTTAATAATGTTAAAATGAAAATAAAGTGCTATTTGTCATTTATAGTTGGTATGATGAGGATTTTAAGTTAAAAAAAAAATTTCGCCTGGAATTTACACAGATTAATGGCTTCTTACAGCCAGAGGACTTCTTGGTCTGCTTGTTTTTAATAGAGTCATAGGGATTTCTATTTTTATTACTCTGTTTTATGATGGAATTTTGATGATGTAGCACTCTTGGTATATACATTTGTTTTATTTGGGTTTGTTCATTATTACATTAGGTAAAAACTTGTTGCCGTCAAGTCGATTGTGACTCACAGCCACCCTGTAGGACAGAGTAGAACTGCCCCATAGAGTTTCCAAGGAGCGGCTGGTGGATTCGAACTGCCGACCTTTTGGTTAGCAGCTGTAGCACTTAACCACTATACCACCAGGGATATGTAAATAACCTGTTTTTAATTTCTGGGATTATTTCTGAAAAATGAACCCACACTTTTCATTTTTTAACTTGTGGGAATCCTTAGCAGTAGAGTTTAAAGAACGGCTTACTTAAGAACTATCTGAGGAGCTTTTTGAAAATACAGATTCCAGATTTTCCTGAGTCTAATATGTCAGTGTCTGCAGGGGTAAAGCTCTAGAATATCTATTTTTAACAAGCTCCTCTTCTGATGCCCAGCCTGGTTTAGAACCTACGGACCAGGAGACCTTAGTTTCCTGAATGTTATTCAACTCTCCACAGTAGTGGTTGATGTCTGTGTATTTTATGTCATTGCTGCCAGTGTAGCAAAAGTTCAGAAGCCCAGAGCAATTTAAGAATCTTTTAATCTCTTAGAATTGGCATAGAAATGCAGGTTAGGACTATGCTGTAACCCCAGTGGTACTGGTAAACATACAGCTGCCCTGGGTTATCCTCATTGGTTTTATTGCTAGTTCCAGATATGGAAGGATCTAAGGAATGCAAGTCTATAAAGATTCCTTGGCACACACTGGCTTCTGGTAAGGTCTGAAATATTTTGCAAATCATGTGGGGTTTACTCCTTAGGATATAATTTTTAGGACTCAAATTAAGAGAAGGTGATGTGCTGTGAGACACATCAAGTTTCTAGACCTTTCTTAATTTGTTGATTGTGTTCAATGATCCAGAAGTGGTGATTGACTTATAATTCTTTTATTTAGGTATGGGCTCTTTTCATTGAGGGCACAAGAAACTGATTCTTTTTTATAAACTTCAGGCAGAGCTTTTAGATTAGACTAGGAATTGGTGGACTTTTTCTGTAAAGGGTCAGAGTGCCAGTATTTTTGTTCTTTGAGGCCATATGATTTCTGTTACAGCTACTCACCTCTACCGTTGTAGAGCAAAAGCAGCCATAAAAGCAAAAAAAACCCAAACCCATTGCCATCAAGTCAGTTCCAGCTCATGGTGACCCCATGTGTTACAGGGCAGAACTGCTCCATAGGGCTTTCTTGGCTGTAATCTTTCCGGAAGCAGATTGCCAGGCCTTTCTTCCACAGTACTGCCGGGTGGGTTTGAACTGCCAACCTTTAATAGTCGAGTGCAAACTGTTTGTGCCACCTAGGGACCCAAAGGAGCCCTGGTGGCACAGTGGTTAAGTTTGGCTGCTAACCAAAAGATCTACAGTTGAAATCCACCAGCCACTTCTTGGGAACCCTATGGGGCATTTCTACTCCATCCTGTAGGGTCGCTATGAGTTGGAATTGATTCAGTGGCAATAGGTTTTTAGGGACCCAAAAGCAGCCATAGATGATACTTAAATCAATGGGTGTAGCTGTGTTCAGATAAAGTTTTTTTTACAAAAAAAATAGTCGTGGGCTAGATTTGACCCATGGGCTATCATTTGCTGACCCCTGGACTACACCAAAAAGTACTATTTTAAGATCAAGTGGCTTTCAAAAATTCTAAAGATTTTAATAATGCATGGATTGAAGTCCAAATTACTTAGCATTGTGTGTAAGGCTCTTCAAAAATTGGCATCAGTTTGGCTTCAGCCTCATTGTCGTATACTTTGTCTTTAATGTACCTTTGGCCTGGCTGCCTTCGGCCATGTTTGCTGTTTCCTAACCATGTTCTGTCACGCAAGTAATCTGCACATCTTGGGGTTTACCATTTCATTTGCCTAGAATGCAGTTCTTTCTTTTCCCCTTGAAGTCTTCTCATCTCAAGGCCTGCTGTTTTCTTGAGTATGCTTTGATGCAAAATAACTTCTTCCTGTTTAGGGCTCCAAAAGAACTTTGTACATATTTACTTCATCCATACTCTGGTCAAAGTCACTGTCATCTCTCGATTTGCTTTACAAATTTCTCTCTCCACATCATCCACTCTTCTCCTTCCTTCCAAGCCATTCTCCACATAGCAGCTTTAGTAATCTCTTAAAAAATATATAAATACTACTTATATGCTTAACATTTTTCAGTGGTTTACTAGCATTTGGAATAAAATCTCCAGATGAGATTAACACCTATCTCATCATGTTCCATTTTCCTTCTCACCATGTTTTAGCTACATTCATCTTTTATCTCAGAAATAGCAAGTTATTTCTTAATTGCATGTGTTATTCTCTCTGCTTAAAACTCTTCTGCCTGCTCTTCACATGACTGGTTCCTAGTCTCCTTTAGGTCTAATATGACACTCTCTCCACAGACAAGCTTTTCCTTACCATAGAGTCCACCTTCCAACCCCCATTAATCACTCACATGGCATCTTCATAGCGTTTTTTACAATTCGCAATTTTATATTTATTATCTGCCTTTCCAACTACACTGTAAGCTCATGAGGGCAGGGAGTATAACTGTCTTTCTCCACCATATACCAAGTGCCTAACCAGTGCTTGAAGTCCCTAGGTGGTATGATGGGTTATGATGCTAACCATAAAGTTGGAAGTGCCAGTCCACCCAGAGGTGCCTCGGAAGAAAGCCTGGCGATTTACTTCCAAAAAATCAGCCATTGAAAACCCTATGGAGCACAGTTCTACTCTGATGCGCATGGGGTCACCATGAGTCAAGATCTAGTCAAAGGCAACTGATTTGGTTTAGCCAGTGTTTAGCACATAAAAAAAAAATCGCCATCAAGTCAGTTTTGACTCATGGCAACCCCGTGTGTTATAGTAGAACTGTGCTTATAATGTAAAAGAGGAAACAGACTTATATACAACCAACTATAATATGAAATAAGAGCCATGATAAAGGAATCTATTTATGTATCTATCTATCTATATGTATATATATCTCCTTTCTTTTTTATGGAAACCCTGGTGATGTAGTGGTTAAGAGCTAAGGCTGCTAACCAAAAGGTCTGCAGTTTGAATCCGCCAGGTGCTCCTTGGAAACCCTACGGGACAGTTCTGCTCTGTCCTGTAGGGTCACTCTGAGTCAGAATCAACTCGACAGCAACGGCTTTGGTTTTGGTTTTCTTTTTTAGACATGGGATTTAACCCAAGATTACAAAATTTAAGGTTTTCTAGTTGAACATGTTCGTTTTGTAAGTGACCAAAAAAACCCAAACCCATTGCCGACTTGAGGCCTCCATAAATCAAGGGACTTGCGCAAGGCCACATAGTACATATTTGGAACTAGAACCATTAGTCTCTTAAAGTTTAAACTCCTTTCATTATGTCACAACTGGATTGAAAATAGACCACTTCTTAATTTTTCTTGGACAGAAAACTCTCTGTGGTTACGTTTTCTTTATTGATATTTAAAATTAAAATGATGCCAATTTGATTATTTAAATGTGTTATTTATAGTTTTCATGCATTGCAGACTCATTTTGTATGCACTACAAGTGAGAAATAGGTAGGGTTTGAATTTTTAATCAATAATCAGAGTTAGCTCCTGGTTCACCCAGAGGCCTGCACAATAATTTCTCTCTTCTTTTCCTTCTAAAAATCAGAATCCCAGTAAGGAATGTGAACCTTATCGAAGAAATGAAGACAAACCAATTGCTCCTTGTGGAGCTATTGCCAACAGCATGTTTAATGGTATGATATAGATATAAACATGGACATGAATATAAACATATATAATTAGGACAATCTGTAATCTGTTAGAGATTTGATAGTCTAGTAAACATGACTGAAATTGAATAATTCAATAACTTTAGGATAAATATATTAACTAGGTACTAAGTGAGGTATTGTAATGCTTTGTGACTTTCTTTTGAGCATTATACTTTAAGAATGGATTTCTGTCTCTGGGAAGAAACTAATACTGAGCAAAGCAGAGACATTCTGCTAGCTTTCCTGTTTCATAGAAAATAAAAGCCAGACTACCTTTTGACACCGACTTTATTTATACCATTAAAAAGGAGCTACTGTGGATAATTTAGAATAGCACTGTCTGATATAAATGTAGTGTGAACCATAAATGTGAGTCAGGTATGTAATTTTAAATATGCTAGTAACCACATTTTAAAAAGTAAAAAGAAACAAATAAATTTTAATATATTTTATGTAACCCCAATATCTATTAACATTTCAACATGTAATCAGTATATAAAAGTTATTAATAAGATTTTTTTATAGTTTTTTCTTGTATGGTAATCAGTATCTGATGTGTATTTTATACTTACAGCACATATTTATTTGGAACAGACATATTTCAGCTGTTCAGTACCATGTATGGCTAGTGACTACTGTATTAGTGCAGATGGAAAAATAAATAAGCCAGAAACTATTTAGAAATGTATTGTTAGGACCAGAGGAGAAGCAGATTTACCTTGCTAAATGTTATTATAGTTAATTCACACTTGAGTAATCAAAAGCAAATGTATATGCCTGCTATGTCACAATCACTTTTGGGAGCTACTACCAGATCCTCAAGTATCATAGAGTAAAGCAGGTACTATGGATTTTAGGTAGATATTTAGCAATATTTTCCTTTTCTTGTGTTTAGATACATTAGAATTGTTTCTCATTGGCAATGATTCTGATCCCATGGCTATTCCTTTGAAAAAGAAAGGTATTGCTTGGTGGACCGATAAAAACGTGAAGTTCAGAAATCCTCCTGGAGAAGAAAGTCTAGAAGAACGATTTAAAGGTAAAACATTACTAATACCCTTCTAAGAAATATGAACTTTTAAGAGCATAATCTAGGAGTTTTAATGAAGTATCTTAAATTTATTTTTATCTTTAGAATCTTAAAACAGTTTATGCTTTTTTTAAAAAAAAAAAAAAGCTTTTCATACCTTCATACCAAGTTAGGTAAAATGTAGTCTATTCTAATGTACTGAAATTCTAAAGGAAATGTATAATTTTAATCTTGAATTGAGTTTCTCTGGTGTTTCTTGTAAGTATTTTAGCTATTATCCTTTAAAAATGCAGCGAAGCTTCTTTAAATAAGTCATTATTATCCAACTATATTTTTATTTCTGTATTACTTTGTTTTCATAATGTAATGTTTCTCACCATTTATCCTTGCATTATGTAGTCTGTCTTTTGTATATAGCCAATATCCTACTTTCAGTATTGAGATATTTTCAACCAAGTATTTGTAATTTTTTGTCAAATTGTTACATGAGGAATTGGTTTCTTCTAGATTTTAAGACTTTCTTAGCATATTAATATGTTTATACTTTTGAAAATAAGAAAAATACTGATTGTGTATTGCACATCTTTATTTTAGTAGTATGTAGATTTTCCGTGAAACTCTTAATAGACTTGAATATTTTGTCCTCCTATTCCTCCCCCCTTTCTCCAAGGTACAACAAAGCCAGTAAACTGGCGTAATCCAGTATACGCACTGGATTCTGAAGCAGATAATAATGGGTTTATAAATGAGGATTTTATTGTTTGGATGCGTACTGCAGCATTACCTACTTTTCGTAAGTTATATCGTCTTATAGAGCGGAAAGATGATTTACATCCAACTTTACCAGCTGGACGATACTATTTGAATATCACATACAGTATCCTTTTTTTGGCTGTGTATACGTATTCATAGAACTTGAAGAGAGTGTAGTTCAACCTTATCTTAATTTTATGATGTATTACTTTGTGCTTTAGTTTTGATCTCTGCATTTTTATGTATATGTATATATGAATATATATTTTTTATTTTATATCTCCCAAAAATGTCTTAAATTTTTATATGCTTTGTTCTAGGGCTTCAAACATATTATTTGATAAAAGTTATTTAAAATGTAGGTGCTTAGATCTATTAATAAGCTATTTTTACAAGGGAGATTGTAATTGAGCTTAATGCAAAGGCCAGCAGGTGTACCTGGTATTAAATAAATGCTGATAGGACTGGGTTGTTGCTATAGAAAATTTCACATAATAAAAGTCAATTTTAGTTCATATCAGCGTACTCGTTCATAACTATTGCTCTGTTCAAAGTATCAAAACATTTTTATCATTAGCTATATATTGTTCCACATTAATAATTTGGGTATACTTTACAATGCTGATAATACCATTTTTTCTGTTCTGACTCTATACCAACACTGTGCTAAGTATTTTTAATGCATTATTTTATTTAATTCAAACAGTAACATTAAGAGATAGGCATCATCTCCTTGTTACAAGACAAAGAGTACAGGCACAACTTCAAAAGCCATGACTTTACTATCAGCCACCACAATGGGCTGTATCCTCAGCTAGTTTACTCTTGTAGTCAGACCATTTCATATCGGCCTAGATGCAAAGTCTTTTCTAGGAGGGAAAAATAGGGCAATTCCTTTCATCCTAAACAAATTCCTTACATCTTTTAATCTCTAGCCCATAGCTTGTATATATCATTAGTGAGAAAATTCCTGGATATTAGCATTTTAAATGTTTGCTAATCATCTTTGTGCTTTTGATTTTTGTTAATCCAAATTAGCCGCAAGAATATTGCTTTGACTTTAAAATGAATTAGTAAATGTTTAAATTAACGACCCAGATTCAAAATAAGGGTTTTCTTTTTTTAGGCGGGGGGTGGGGAATCCTAGTCTCTTGATATTGCACCTCAGTACATAACTGAATATGGCCCGAGAGTGGTAGACTGAAGGAGACCAAGTTTTTGAAACTAGGTCCAGGTAGCAGCAATCTGGACAGGCAGACCTAGCTCAGGTGCTGGTAGAAAAAACATCCTGAGGACGTAGCTAAAATAGAGGGCAGTTCTGTCACAGTTAGCATCTAAAAGATCCAGGAAGGAGTAAGGGCATATACCAGCCTGTAACCTAAAGCACAATGAAGGAAAGTCTATAGAGCACCTCAGAATTCTTAGCTCTGTGCAAACTAACAGACAGTTTGTATCTGTGAAGTCTGCAGCAGGATTGATTGTAGACACTGAGAAGAAAACTGTCAGGAAGAATGCAGGGTATTGAGTAGATTGACAAGACAGGAGTTTGGACCTGCAAAATATCAAGGCTTAATTAGCAAAATTGGGTGTACCAGGTGGGAACCCATCTTTTTTAGGGTTGGGGTACAGAGAGACTAGCATGGGTGATTTGGTACTGAATGTCCCAGAGTATAGGGTTAATGAGAACTCTTAAAATTGTTCCTGCCTCAGGTTAGGATTGGTCTAAGAAGCTAGTGGAGCTAAGGCTTCCATTTGTGGTCATAGGGCCCCTTTTATGGGGATAGAGACTTGGCAGAAGCTAGAGAAGCAGGTTGTGCCGAGTGTTTGACTCAGAAAGTGGTTTTGAAAGGTTGTAAACCTTTTCAAATTGGGGTTTAGTTCTGTCTTCTCTCTACTCCAGCTCTGGCCAGAATTCTAGGACTGGTCCATGAAGATAGCTCAGCCAACATACTGGTGTCCCACTTCTTAAATTTGCAAAAATACATTGTCCCTCACCCTTCTCTTCCAATCTGTTTTAGCCATCAACTCTGTCACGCCATGAATTTTATCCTTGTTCCAAATTAGCAAGTTAAAATTTTAATATCCTGGTTTCTGCCCTTGTGCTCAGAGCCCTCTCATATTTCTGTAACTCCATTCTTTCTGCACATGCTGTTTGAACTCACAAAGACTTCCAGTCCCTTGATTTCTTTCAGTTTCTCCTGGTCTGTCGATCTCCTTTCTCTTCCTATGTGAGCTTCATTATTGATCATCTGAAGAACTTCTCTACATTACATTTACATGTCGCTCCTGTGTATTGAGAGCAAAAGTACATTGAAAATTATATAACCTTTAAATTTGGATGTTTTTGTTTGTAAAATGTTTTGGATTTTACTACTAACATTTATTTTGCCAAATCCTTCAAGATAATAATTATATAAGGTGCCTGTGTATCATAGAATTATACAAATGAATTACAAGCAATTAAATGCCAACTTATAAGTTATATTTTAAAAATTAAGCAACTAGAGGTGGAAAAGTCTTCCTATACACTCTTCAGATTACCCTGTACATTCTTTTGATGGACGAAAACGGATGATCTTGAGCACTATATCATGGATGGGAGGAAAAAATCCATTTTTGGGGATTGCTTACATCACTATTGGATCCATCTCCTTCCTTCTGGGAGTTGTACTGCTAGTAATTAATCATAAATATAGAAACAGTAGTAATACTGCTGACATTACCATTTAATTTTATATTCTGAAAACAAATCTACTGCATGTGCATCAAGGCCAGTCCTATTCAACCTAGCTTTCGAATGCTAATGTTCGGTTAGTATGTCATTTTTGAAGTTGGCACATAACTTTTTTTAAAAATAGTCTTGTCCTGTGCTTCTTCTCTGTGGATGACTTATGAAAATATATGACGGGTATAAAACAAATTAGCTATATTGATCATATCAACACTGTAACTGCTGAAATGGCATTCTAATATTTGCTTTTTATTGGGACAGGCCATATGATGCATAGAGCCTCTTTCATGTGAAATGGGTCTACTGCTTAAATGTTTATGCTGTGTTGATAATATTATATCGACATATGATGCTGTATATGTGTGCCTATTGTGTGAAGAGAGGGATTGCAAAATGTATGAGTATAATGACTTGCTATCAAGAAGGATAAAGAAAGACCAATCTAAATAAAACACTTCATCATTTTCATGTGTTGTGTGTAAAGGCTTAAAGTACCATCTTTGTTGAGGTGGTTCATGTATTCAATTTATTCAGTAGAGTTCTTTGTCAAGCTTAGCTTTGATTTCAAAAAACATGTTTACTATGTCTAGCATAGGAATTAATGGTCATGTCTAAAGAGTTCAGGTAGGTCCTAGGTAGGTCCCAGTAGGAGAATTTAAAATTCCTCTTTCCATTTGGTTAAGTTGTTGTAGTCAGGAACTCCAACTCACTTGAAATGTTTTTACATGTGATCATTTCCCTTGAAGCTTAGACTTCATAAGGGAAGAAAGAATATAGGTAAGATGGGAAAACTGCTTAGCAGAGCTTCATCTTCTGCCTCAATTGTAAACCAGATGTAAATTCTCAGAGGAGGTTGTTTTCATTCTTGTGGTATTTAACATTTAGAAATTTGCTTCAGCATTGGAAATACCTCAAGCTATTTTAATTTTGCAGGTATTTTTGACAAGTACTAATATTATATTCCAGAAAATTTAAAAATTAAAAAACAAACAGTAACCTAAATTTTCTCCATATTTTATTCAACTTTTACATATAGGTCCAATATGGATGTGTATGCACATTCTTTTTAGTTAAGATACTAGTTGCTTTGGTTGGTTTTCCTAAGATGTACTTTAAAAAGAAGTTCTTTAAATTTTCATAATTAAATTCTGGGGATTTTGGAGTATGTGTATGGTAAATTATAATATATACGGTGGAAATTATTTTATTTTCTACTAACTTGAATTATTTTGATATTCCTTATTGAATAAATGCTGTAATTTGTTTGCTATGGAACTTGTTCTTGAAGCGAATGTAAGCTTGTATTTTCACATGCATGAAAATGTGTGATTTAGTCAGAGGTGACTTAATTTTATTGAAATTCCTTTTCTTTACTCAAATAACTCATATGTTTTTGTAGAAGAATGCCTCTTTATTCAGAATTTGTAATGGTTTTCTTCAGTTATATTTTAAATTGAAAGGTCTAAGTAATGTATCAGTTTTAATATATGCTTAAAAACAATGTAATGGTTAATAGTAAAAATGTGCCACACTTCTTATGTTATGTATAAAATATGAATTTCAGTTAAAAGAACTTGTAGTTCATAATGACTTTTAACTGATAAGAATATTACTTGCATGAGGTCCTTGATGTATGATTATCTAGAAATTCCTGAGTATGTAGGGTATTCATTGTCTAAAAATATTGTTGTCAGTCCTTCAGAAAATTGTTATTTATTCTGAAAATTGTTCTTGCACATGGCAATTTATTTTATGGAATATATTATCGGGGTGAGGGCGTTCTTCTGCCAGTCCTTCCAGATTGAGTCTGTGCTGTTTAAGGAGGACTGCCATCCTGCCTATCTTTTTCTAATTGGGTGACCAAGGCTGCTGCTAAAGAAAAATTGAAGAGCCCTTCCAACATTTTCTCATCTGTGGTGAAGACAGAATCTTAAAATATATTTGGAGTTTTATTTGTTTTACAAATATATTGATGGCCTAAGTTCCTCCCTGTTTCCTGCCATTTGAGCTATAAGGGATTCCTGTTGTGTAAATATGAATAAAATGGAACATTCATATGGCCTCTGTGAAGCATGAGGGGGGAGGAAAACATTTCTTTCTTACAAGCTTTATGCTAATCTTTTGGAAACATTGATGACATAAATTTAACTTTCAAAAATTAAATTGCATTTTAAGATAATTAGCTTAAGTAGACAGCATTGAAGAATGCATTAATTTACAGAAAGTATTTTGACATATGAAAAGTTTCCCAATTGAAGAAATTATGCAATAAGTAAAAGCTAAGAAATTTCATTGAAATTATAAGGTAGTTTAAAAATAAACTTGTAAAAATAACTCTGTACTACCTAATAGAGGAAGACTCTTCCAAGAGGAGAGTCAAATGGAATATTACTTACTGATTAGTGACAGTGTTTATTTGTAACTTTGATTATATTAAAAGATAATTTTCTGTTCATATGTTCTGTATTAATAAAAATGAACAAAATTAATTTTGCCATGTTCAAGTTTCTTGCTAAAGTAACAGACTGCCAGAGTTGCTGCTAATATTTAGCACTAAATTTTAATCCAAGGTCAGTGAGTCCAAGTTTTGACATTTCCATGCCTAGATTTCATGAAATATCATTCACTATTAAATTAATGGCCATATTTATACTTATAAATCACTCTCATAACATTATCCACAAGATTTTTTACTAAGAAACATCTTTTCTTGCCAGGAAGTGGTCATATTGCCACATGAGTTATAGACAACCTAGCTAAGTTTGATTATCAGATCAAGGGAAGTATCTGTTAAGTAGAAAACGAAGAATTGGTAGAGAAGCAACGATGATGAAAATAATGAAATGGGGCACATAGGAAATGGAAAGCCTAACTAGGAAGGAGGAGCAGCTGAAAGGGTAGGGTTAATGAATGTTGTTCTGCCTACTACTTCCTTCTTCATGGAAATACTGCCTTAGAATTATTACATGGTACTTCTTTGTTGTCTAAACTGTAAAGTTTTGTTCTTTGTGAATATGGCTATTTTGAAGGGTGGATGGAAGATAATAGGGATGCTATTAGTGCTGCTGTGGCAAGAAGAATTTTGATGCATAAGTGTCTGTTGCAGAGTTTGGATCATCTAGTGAAGGGTTGTAGAACCCTTTTTAAATCCATGTCCCATTCAATAAACAGAAAAATCACATTTCCTTTAATGTCATTTGAAATTTCAGAATAAATACTGTGTCTAAAAACAAATCAGACCATGGTGAGCTTATTTGCTTTTATGTATATATACATATAAAATATACAAGCAGCATATATTTTGTATATATGACATTTCCATTTGTATCATTTTACTTTTCCTGGAATTAATGACTGCCTCATTTTTAACACTTATATAACTTTCTGTAAACCCATCTTAAAATTTTTCCAACTTCTCTATCAGGTCCACCATGTTCCCATCACTAGTTATGAAAGGTTTTCGTCCTTAAATATCAGATACTGTGATTCCATTTTCACTAGAGAGATCTATTCTGCAGTTGTCCTCTGTGTCAATATGTACTGGTTGTTCTCTTGGCCTGCTGCACAGCTGTTATCTCGTGGCTTCCCTTTGTCACCCTCCTGTGTTGGATCTGCTGTTTTCTAGTTTACTGTCTTGTTTACTGGAGTGCATCCTAAAACACAGCTTCCGAAGAAGATGGTAATGAGAGGTAAATTTTCTGAGTCCTTACATATCTAAAATTCTTTTATTTCAAGCTTTATTAACTGATAATTTGAGTACATACAATTTTAAGTTAAAAATAATTTTCCTTCAGAATTTTGAAGGCATTGCTGTACTGTCTTTTAGCTTGCATAGTTGCTTTTGAGATATATGATCCTATGTCAGTCAGATGATGGTCCTCCCAGACTGATGCTGACTTTTCTTCTCTCTTTTTGTTGTTTGATGCTATTGTCTCTCTTCTTCCTAGGAAATTTCATCAGTTTTATCTTACAACATTATCTTCTATTGATTTTTAAATATATTTTCTTACATTTTAATTTCTTAGACTACTTTCATTTCTGTTGTGTTTTTGAAAAATTCTTAGTTCACAGATGGAATATCTTATTTTTCTGATGACATATGAAAAAAAAAAACCAAACCCATTGCCGTTGAGTCAATTCCAACTTATAGTAACTTTATAGGACAGAGTAGAACTGCCCCATAGGGTTTCCAAGGAGCAGCTGGTGAATTCGAACTGCTAACCTTTGGTTAGCAGCTGAGCTCTTAACCACTGTGTCACAAGGGCTCCTATCATATATATGGGTGTATATATATTTTTTATTTTGTTTTCTACTCAGTTGACACCAGGATTTTTGTTGTGGCTTTTTTTTTTTTTTAATATTGTGCTTTAAGGTGAAAGTTTATAGCTCAAGTTAGTTTCTCATTAAAAAATATATAAACATGGTTTTGTAACATTGGTTGCAGTCCCCACAATGTGATAGCACTCCCCTTTCCACCTCGGGGTCCCTGTGTCCATTTGTCCAGTTCCTGTTCCCTCTGCCTTCTTGTCTTGCTTTTGCTATGTTTCAATTTTAGTTCTTCACTCTTGTTTATATAGGCAACTTCTATTTCTGGCTAGTCTTAGCAATCGGTCATATGTGAATAAACACCAAGACTTATTTATTGAAACCTCTGTTCATAGGCAGTGCTTGACAAATGGTTAGCTTCACTAACACAGTGTTACTCAAAAAAATGCCACTAGTGAATTGTTGTTTACCCAGTTTGTGATAAAATGCCTAGAGTAGTAATAAATAGTTGACAGATCAGCATCTGCAGGTTTAACACATTTTGAGAAGCACTGCACTAGGGAATGACTGGCAGGTAACCAATCATTTGGTTGGAGGCCTTTTCTCTGTGGCTGTTCAGTTTCTCTAGAGAAGAATCCTTTAGTCTTAATGCCTTTAACTCTCTGTTGCTGCCTTGTCTTCCACCTTACTTGCTAATTTCCACTTGACACCTATTTCCCTATACCACAGGCCTGGTGGCACAGTGGTTGAGAGCTACAGTGAGCTATGGCTGCTAACCCAAAAGGTCGGCAGTTCAAATCCGCCAGTTGCTTCTTGGAAACCCTTTGGGGCAGCTCTACTCTGTCCTATAGGGTCACTGTGAGTTGGCATCGACTTGACGACAGCGGGTTTGTTTTGTCTGCGTAGCCCCTCCACCTAGTGGTCTCCCATTTAATTTCTCAGGATAAGAATTCTCTGTTCTACCTGTAATAGTGATGGAGGTGAAAGATAGTATTTGTTTGATTGAGGAGGGTAGGGCAGGGACCTTGAGGATCTGACCTTTCTGTTGTTGTGTATGACTTTCAACCAAAGATTTTCAGGCCTGTCCCTTGGCTCACTCTTTCCTGTAACTTTTACCTCCCAACTTCTGAACTTCTTGGGGGAGTGAGACCAATCAGCTCACTTCTCACTGGTATCCCCCTTGCCTTCCCTTTAGATTGCAGCTTCCTCTGTCCAACTCAGTCATATTCCACCTTCTGTCTTTCGTAAATTTGTTGGAATCGTTTTATCTGTCACTGTCTCCTCTCTCTATTGTTGAGAGCTCATACCTTTAATTTTATTTTTTATCCTGCCGTTTATTTATTTTGGGGTAATCAAATAGTGTGTAAGGAAAATTCTTTATAGAAGAATTCCAGCTAATAAATGTAGAAGGAATGATGGAATTAGAAAATCAGTAGTTAGTAACCCCTAATGAAACAGTGATTCTAGGCAAGGCTTATCAGTGAATGCTAAAATTTAAGATTAATACATCTCTGGGTGGTGCAGATGGCTAAGTGCTTGACTGCCAGCTGAAAGATTGGTGGTTCGAACCCACCCAGAGGTGCCTTGGAAGACAACCCTGGCGATCTGCTTTCGAAAGGTCACAGCCCTGAAAACCCTATGGAACAGTTCTGTTCTAAAGACTTGCGGTCACCATGAGTTGGTATCGATTTGACAGCAACTAATGGTAACAATAACAACGTCCTCTGAACAATTTTAGGATTACTAAAAATGGGTTAACCAGAAATTATACACCTCCTAATACAATAGGCCATCATCATCAAAAATAACATTTCAAGATCTATCTTGAAGTACAACGCTGTAATAGGATAATATCCATACGCTTATAAGGAAGACCAGTTAGTACAATTATTATTCAAATTTATGCACTAACCACTAAGGCTAAAGATGAAGAAATTGAAGATTGTTTTTAAAAATTGTACTTTAGGTGAAGGTTTACAGAACAAATACTTTCTCATTAAACAGTCAGTCCACATATTGTTTTATGACATTGGTTAACAACCCCATGACATGTCAACACTCTCCCTTTTTGACTTATTTTAAATTTTTTTTAATTTCTAATTTTTATTTTTTTATTGTACTTCAGGTGAAGGCTTACAGAACAAATAGTTTCTCATGAAACAGTAGTACACGTATTGTTTTATGACATTGGTTAACAACCCCACAACCTGTCAACCCTCTCCCTTCTAGACTTTTTTTTTCCTTTGGTGAAAATATACATAGCCAAAGATACACCATTTCAAAAATTTCTACATGCACAGTTCAGTGACATCGACTACGCCCTTCCGAGTTCATACCTTTTTTAAAAAATTTGTTCATTACAAAAACCAAACCCGTTGCCATTGAGTCAATTTCTACTCCTACGGTAAACTTTACTTTTTTAGTGTACAGTTCTGTGAATTTGTGTAACCACTGTAACTATTAGAATTCAGAGCAGTTCTATCACACCAAAAAATGACTATATTATCTCTTTATAGTCACCCCTCCCCCACCCATAACCCCTGGCAACCACTCTGTTTTCTCCATAGTTTTGTCGTGTAGAATGTCATAAATAGAATCATGCAATATGTAGCCTTTTGAAACTGGCTTCTTTCACTCAGCGTAATGCCTTTGAGATCCATCCAAAGTGATGTGTGTATCAATAGTTTTTCTCATACCTTTTTTATTCCTTTTGTTTTATTGAGGTGAGAGGGAGAGGAGATGAACTCTTGTGGCCAATCCACTATCTTAAACCAGAAATACCTTGAAACAAATATGTCCACTCCCCTTTGATTATTTTGTAAGACTAAAAAAAAAAAAAGCTTCTTATATAATTATAATATTAATGTGAGCTTGTCTGTTTGTATGCCACAAGCTTTTCTATCCAAAGTAATGTGGAAGAAGATTGAATTCACCATACATTGCTTTCACCATCAAGCCTGATGTGCCACTTTGTTTTAAAAACCAGAAGGGTGGAAAACATAGCTTTACAAATATCAAATTCCACTTGCCTTCCTCCTCTCTTGGGGTTTGGAAGGGTTGTTTCTCCTTTTCACAGCAAAGCTTGTAAAAGAGTAGTTTGTATTTTGTTGTCATCTTCATCTTCAGTCCGGCTTTCACTCCATGCTTGCATTGCACTGTGTTTGTGGTCACCTGTATCTAAAAGATACAGTAGAAAGAGTGAGGGTTTTAGAAGAAGATTGGCTCTTACACTTACAAAAGTTATCTTCAGGTTATTTAATCTCTTTAGGTCACTTTATCATTTCCTTGTTAGTAAAATGGGAATTATATACCCACTTGGCAGATTTTGTCTGAAGAATAAGGGAAGTTATAGATGAAACACATCTAGCACAAAATGTAGAAAAGCAGGCACCCAGTGAACAATTCCCATTCCTTATTGTGGAATCAAGTGAACTCACCTTTATCTTGACCTTTTTGCTCCACTTGATAGGCATTTTTCTTTGCTCCATCCTTAGCTTCCGTGAATAACTTTCCTTATTTTCTTCCTACTTATCTGTTCCTTAGTCTCCTTTTACATACTCAAAATAGGCCGAGAATTCTTTGAGGTTATGTTCTGGGCCCTTTTCTCACTTTACTCATCCTTCCTGAGAAGTCTTTAATTCCTCATCACTTCTACTACCATCTTCACACTGACATCTCTATCTTTTCTCGTGGCTAGACATCTCTCCTGAGCTCTAGATTGTTCACCATACATCTCTCCTTATTTCTTAAGGTTAATGAGGCCAAAACAGAAATCATCCCACACAAGCCTGGGTTTCTTCCGTATTCCTCCATTTAGTGAATCGTATGACCAACCACTTTATGAGTTAAGCTACTTCTTCTCTTCAGCTGCCCTATCCAGTAAGTCACTGCATTTTGTTGATTTTTAAAGGTACTTCCTCTTTGTTGGCTCCCTAATCCTTTTCCTTATCTACATCTCTTTTGCTACTGAT